CGGTGAGGGGAAAGCGGAAACCCAGCTCGGGCCACGGGCACAGGGGTGTGAGAGTTCGGAGGCCCTGCAGCGCAGATGACTGGACAGCAGGCTTTTCCCCACCCTTTTTGGTGTCTGGGCCCTTGGAAGGTTGTGGGGGAGGCGCCTGCGGGAGAAATGGAGGGGCGGGAGATGGGGAGTGTGGTGCCCCTTGGAGGTCGCTGTCCTGGATTGGGGGCAGGTGTCTAACTCTGGGGGTAGCTTAACTCTGGGTGGTGAGTAGCCTTGCTACTTGGGCCTTATTCCAGAAGGAGGCCCTTGTGCCCTGCATCATGGGTGCTGACTCTTCTCACAGGCTTCTGCTTGGTGGCAAAGTCTCCTGTCTGAGTTGTAGGAGTGGTGCATTCTGGGGAAGGGGAACATAATTAGAGGGGCTATTATGAAAGCACCAGAACATAAGAATGAACTGTTCATCTGCCTTCAATACAGGATTGATTGTACTATTCCCTTCTATATGTAGAATCTTGTGCTTAATTTACTGCAAGCAAATGGTCATGATAAGGAGTTGGTCACATTACAGAACTCCTGGCTATATCTATATCTATATATCTATATCTATATCTGGTGACATTATCCTATCTTTTATACTCAGGATTCATATTCTCAACATTGTATTTCGCTTTGAACGTTTTTTGACGTGTTCGAATGGGAGTTAAAGTAAAGGAGAAGTTTTTGTGCAGGTGGGTGTTTGATTTAGAATGTTTGAAATCACTATAGGATTTAAGTATCTGTTTATGTGACCCCATATATAATCTACAGCTACTTTTCCTAGTCCTTCATATATTTTTTGTACAGAAGTAGTATCACACAAAATGTGCTATTTCTATGGGTGGACATCAGAGTCACGGGAGAGTTGATAGAGTTCATTTACTTGTTTTTTGATTCTCTAAAAGGGGGTGTTTGAACTTGGGTTCTGAAAATATGCCTCAGAAGCCTAATAATTTTATGCTATGGTCAACATACTTTCTTGTATGTTTTTCTTAGTATCTTTTGGTTTCTAGAGGTTGACTCTTCTTCAGCCAGAGGACCCTTCTTTACTGAGAAGGATAGCATCTTCCGAGGATCCAGCTTTGTGATGAGTCTGGCATTGTTACCACATGAGGTAAGATCTAGGTAGAGCAGTGTTTCTCAAACTTCCAGTTGCAACCCCTTTGGGGGTCTAATGACCCTTTCTCAGGGGTCATATATCACATATCCTGCATATCATATATTTACATTAAGATTCATAATATCTAGCACTTTTCACAGGTCTTCCCTTAGTCAGTGGGGTCAGGATTTGGTAGCTGGTGCTGAGAGAAAACCCTTGAGTACATCCTTGTCCTGATACTGTACCAGCGGCAACTGTTACTCAAGGGAACAGTGTTGCAAAAAATAAAAATAAAAAAATTCATAAGATCAGCAAACTTATACTTGTGAGGTAGCAATGAAAATAATTTATGGTTGGGGGTCAACACAACATGTATTAAAGGGTCCCAGCATTAGGACACTTGAGAACCACTGCTGCAGAGACTTGCAGGTAGCTGCTCACTTGGAAATTAAGAAAGAGAAGAAAACTTCATTAGGATTTGAGGTGAGTATGAATCTGAGTGTAAGCATAGCTGTCGATGGGTGGTAGAGGTGGCTGTGGCAAGTGGAGAAACCAGATCTTCTGGGACCCATTGTTTTCTAACTTTCCAGACGTCGCTGTCCTTACATTCATTACAGAAAGTGGGAGGATAGTGAGCTAAGCTTGTGTCAATAGGTATTTATTAGGCACTGGCTTGGAAAATGGGGAGAGAATCCATAAGAGAGAACAGGGTGTGAGGGAGTATTAAGATACGTGGAGATAGAAGTTTAGGTCAGTCTGTCAGATACTGAAAATTCTAATCCCACGTATATTTTTGTCTATAGCTCTGCCTGTGACATCAGTTGGGTGACTTTTCAACAGTGAAAGCGAGGAAGGAGGAAGCAATCACATCACATCACATCAGTGCAGGTTGGTGTGAGGCCTCTCTGAAGACATAGAAGTTCCTGGTGGTATTGCCAGTATGGGACCAAAGGGGCTGGGTGCCTTTGGCCTCTCCTACTTTAAGCAATCTTAGCTATTATCACTGATGTGCTTGATGGAGACAAAAGAATGGGAGTACTTGGGCTGGATGCAAGTATGCAAGAAATTAAATGAGAGCAGAGTTTTTGACTAATCCACATCTACGACACAGTTCAAATATCCATTCATGTCCTTCTGTGTAGCTATCTGTATAAAGAACCCAGGTTGGAGGACACTCAAAGTCTATTTATTTTTCCCACCTTAGGTGTCTCACCAGTGGTAGCCTTGGATTGGCAGAAGATTGCTTTCAGCGGGTCTGCCTTTGGAAATCATCATCTTCTCCCTGACCTGAGTGTCTTTACTCTGTCCCTGTCATTGATAGAGGCTGTGTGTCAAAAAAGGAATTTTTGTAACTACTAAACTGACAGTTGTCTTGAACCTCTTTCGAGATATTAGCCTGCACCAAACAGAGAACTAAGGTTAAGATTGGACAGGTGTCTATAGCTGTGCTTCAACCATGACTGGTTCAAAGAATAAGGCTAGAGCACAGGCTAAATTAGACAAAAGGGCAAGTGGGCAAGCCAAAGCTTTAGCAGAGAGGGAGGCTGCTAATGCAGGCAGAGCAGGAGGCAAAAACCGGGACAAAGGAAAACCTAAGTGGGGAAATAAAGCAGATGCAGCGTCGGAGACGAGGGGAGGGTCTAAGGGCAGGGCAGCTGCTGAGATGAAAGAAGGGGGGAGGTCAGAACATAAGGCTCTAGGAAAAGATTTCAACCATAAGTATGAGTACAAGGGTGCTAGATCTTCACGTAAAGAGAAGGCTAGTAGTGATACCTGGTTCTGGACTGGGGAGGAATCTGGTCTCAATTCCTGGTTCTGGAAGGGAGAAGAGGTTAGTTATGATACTGTTCCTCAGTGTGAAAATAAAAGTAATACTGGTACTCAGGGCCGCACTGAGGAGTCAGAGCCTACACCTAAGGCCAGCCACAAGTCTAGGGCTGAGGAGGAGGAGGAAGAAAATGTTATTGGGAACTGGTTTTGGGAAGGAGATGACACTAGTTATGATCCTAATCCTAAACCTGTGTTCAGAATAGTTAAACCTCAACCAGTGGATGAAATTAATGAGAAAAATAGGCCAAAGGACTGGTCTGAGGTTACCATTTGGCCCAAAGCTCCTGCTGTAACTCCAGCAGTGTTAGGTTATACTTCTCAGGACTCATCTGAGTCAAGGCCTTCTTCCTTTATTGTTCTGGCCTCAAATGAAGAAAAAGCTTCAAAAACAGCCTGTACTAAGAATACTCGATCAGGCCTGCAGCCTATACCTGAGTATCCATTTGGTTCTGATCCTTGCATCCAGACCTTAGATGAAATTAGACAACAAATCAAGATCAGAGAAATGAATGGCATCAAGCCGTTTGCTTGCCCTTGCAAAGTGGAGTGCTATTTGGATTCTCCAGAATTTGAAAAGCTTGTTAACATACTTAAGTCAACTACCGATCCCCTCATTCATAAAATAGCACAGATAGCAATGGGTTTACATAAAGTTCATCCATTTGCCCGGGAATTCATTAATGAAGTGGGTGTGGTGACACTTATTGAAAGCCTGCTCAGTTTTTCTTCCCCAGAAACTAGAAAAAAGACTGTTATTACTCTGAATTCTTCTGGGGATGACAGACAACACAAAGTTGAATTTCATGTGAAGCATATGTGTAAAGAAACCGTGTCTTTCCCCTTGAACTCACCTGGCCAGCAATCTGGATTAAAGATAATAGGGCAGCTAACTACAGAGTCTGTCCATCACTACATTGTTGCCAGTTACTTTTCAGAGCTTTTCCATTTGCTGTCCCAGGGAAATCGTAAGACTAGAAATCTTGTTTTGAAAGTATTTTTGAATATGTCCGAAAATCCAAAGGCAGCTAGAGATATGATCAATATGAAGGCATTAGCAGCATTAAAACTCATCTTTAACCAAAAAGAGGCGAAAGCAAATCTTGTTAGTGCTGTGGCCATCTTTATTAACATAAAGGAACATATTAGAAAGGGCTCAATTGTAGTAGTTGATCACTTGAGTTACAGTACTCTTACTGCCATATTCCGTGAAGTTAAAGGGATTATTGAAAGAATGTAAAATGATCCAGAAATGAAAGAGAACACTGAACAGTGTCCAAATTCTGATTGGCTATACATTCCCAAAGAGTTTTGCATACTATTTTGGTAATAACTGCTCACACATTTTGTCTTAACATCTTTTACAAATTATTACCTGTGGCAGGTTCTAGCTCAAATCTAAAACATTTTTTGGTGTATTAAATGAATATTAAATATTGAGATAAACAAGTTTGTCGATTTCTATCTTATCTAGATTAGCAGATTTTTAACATAATTTTACGTAAGGAAATTGTGATCCAGCTGTCAGAAGTACAGTGTCTTGATGATTGATAATCTGCTTAGATCTGTTTGTGGCTCCAGGTAGCAAAGAAGAAACTACTGGTCTTGTAATCTAGTTAAAAAATAAGGTGTACAAAAATAAAAATAATTGATGGTACCTACACTGTGTGTTTGTATATATGATATATACATATATATGCCTATTGCCAAATGTGTCCTCTTGATACAAAAAGGAAGCAGGTTACTACAGGCTATTAAATATAAAAGGGATTTTCATTCCCCCCTTACTCCAACTATACCAAACACTCACTAGAGAACACTAAATGCCCCTGAATTACACAAAATCTAGAGTGTACAATTCAAATTATTAGACTGCTTCATCTGTGTCAGCCATTTCAGAGAAGAAAAAGGAGGTAGGCATGAAAAGGAAGTATTCTTTATTATTAATTATCCACTATTATATAGGCATAATATTTTATGTTTATTCATATATGGTAGTCCTGTCAGCTAGTTAACCCATATTTTTGATAGATATCATCCTAAGCACCCCTTAATAAGAATATAGCCAATAAATACTTTTTCCTAGCTCCTCACGGCTGGCAGGTGGCACAGATGATTTTTGGCACTCTAGAACCCGGCTCACTATACTTACACTACCTTAACCCATATTGCCCTTTTTAGGTGATGATAGCCTTCACAGCACAGTGACTATTTCAGGTTTAAGAGTAGTTTAACTTTGTGATGGATAATGTTCCCTACCAGGTTAACGAGTTTTAGCTTCCTCCAAATGCATGTGTACTAGGCATTTGGCCTTATCTGGCTAGATGTCAGGAGGAAACTCTGAGGTGGATGTATGTATTTCCCAGGCAGTATATGGGAAGTCAATATCCCAAACTTTGTTTTGTAAATAAGATGTGTAGGAGTCATAAAGAAAGGAACCTTGATCCTATCTAAAGAAGGGATCCTTGATCCTATCTTTCTGTGTGTACTCCCCCCCCCAACCAAGAGCCAGAATCATGCTATTCACCAGTGGTTCTCAATCTTCTAATGCTGCAGCCCTTTAAAACAGCTCCTCGTGTTGTGGTGACACCCCCCCCCCAGCCATAAAGTTATTTTGTTGTTACTTTATAACTAATTTTGCTACTGTTACAAATTGTAATGTAAATATATGATATACAGGATATCTAATATACAACCCCTGTGAAAGGGTTATTTGATCCCCAACAGAGTCCCGACCTACAGGTTGAGAGCAACTGCTACACAGTGTTTTATAGCATGCATTAAGAAAGCTAATTACTTTTATTTTTTCTTGCAAAGTCATAGCCATAATTTTAAATGAATTGTGATTTATTCATGTATTTCATGAAAGGCCAAATGTTTCTGATAGGCAAGCCCATATTCTGTATTTCAGCATCCTAAAATTGAGAATAAACTTAATGGGAAAGACTTAGAACTGCAGCTTCAGCCATATATGAGAGGAAACCAAGGAGAGAGGTTGCCGTTTCATCTTATAGATAGATAGTATTTTCTAGAAATTCCATATTTTCCAAAAAGCTTCTCAGGGCTTTGAGGCTTGTGCCTGATTTCTCCAACACTCATGATAGGAATTACAAACCTTAGTCTGAGATAATAAAGAAAAATTCTTATATATGAGACCATCAAGTTACTTGCTTTGAGATTTTCAGTCAAGAAATAAATCATATGTTAGGTATTACTCATAATTTCTTGCCACCCAATTATGTTGTGAACATTTTTCCATGTTAATGTCCTACACATCTTTTTTTTTTACTTTGAATTAGAAACAGGATTGATTTACATGACAATCCCAGTTCCCTTCTCCCACCCGTCCTCCCCTACCACCCCACCCCCAACTAAAACCCTACCTATCACATATCCTTTCTGCTCCCCCTGGATGGTGAGGCCTTCCATAGGTGTCATCAGTGTCTATTGTATCCTTTGGGATAGGGCCTAAGCCCACTCCCATGTGTCTTGGCTCAGGGAGTATTCCTCTATATGGAATGGGCTCCCAAAGTCCACACCTATGCTAGGGATAAGTACTGAACTTCTACAGGAGGTCCCATAGATTTCTGAGGTTTTCTCACAGAAACCCATGTTCCTGGGATCTGGATCAGTCCCATGCTGGTATCCCAGATATATACTTTGGATATATACTTTCTGTGGTGATACATTGTTTATGATCTAATAAAGCCACTGAAGATTAGCATGCAAAGCTAGCCATAGAAGCTGGGCAGTGGTGGCACACACCTTAATTCCAGGACTCAGGAGACAGAGGAAGATGGATCTCTGTGAGTTCAAGGCCACCCAGGGCTACATGAGAGTGAATCCATCTAAAAGAGAAATAGAGCTCATGCCTTTAATCCCAACATTAGAGAGGTATATAAAATAGGAGTAAGGTCTATGTTGAGGTCAGGATCTCCTCATCCCTGGTAGAGGTAAGAGCTCTCTGGTAGCTTGGCAGCTTTGCTTCTATGATCTTCAGATTGAACCCCAATATCTGTCTCTGGCTTTATATTATTTGTGTTACAGCTTTTATTAGACCTGGATTTAAGAAATGGGAATGAGGTATTGTGATTATACAGTATATTTTAACGTTTATTTATTTTCCCCAGAGTGGTACCAGTTTACACTGCAAGTACTTCTTATGGCCAGTCAAATAATTTTTCCAGACCTAATATAGTAGTTCTACATTTACTTTTGCCTAATAATTAAATTTTTCATATGTATATTTGCCATCCACATTTCTTCAGTGAAGTATTGGTAATTCTTTTGTCCTTTTTAAAAAACATTGTTTTAAAAGTTATTGTTGGTGTTAAAAGGTACTGGAGTCTAGGCTAACTTCAGACTTGCAGCAATACTCTTGCTTCAGCTTCCCAAATGTTGGGACTACAAGTATGGCTCACTATACCCAGTTTGGGGTTTTAGGTTTGGTTTTTTTTTATTTAATTAATTTTTTGTTTGTTTTTTGAGTCAGGGTTTCTCTGTGTAGCTTTGGAGTTTTTATTTAATTTTTACAAAATTATAATTTCACATGTCAATCCCTTCTCCTTCTCCCCCTCCCCCCTCTGCTCCACACGGAGGGCAGGGCCCTCCATGGGGCTCCCCAAATTCCACAACATCATCCTGGGCCGGGCCTAGGCCCTCCTCCCACGTGTCCAAGCCAAGAGAGCATCCCTTCACGTGGGATGGGTTCTCAAAGTCCCTTCTTACACCAGGGAAAAATACTAATCCACTACCAGGGGCCCCCTAGAGTGCAGAGGCCTCCTCATTGACATCCATGTTCAGGGGTCTGGATCAGTCCTGTACTGGCCTCCCAGACAGGAGTCTGGGGTCCATGCGCTCCCCCTTGTTCAGGCCAGCTGTTTCTGTGGGTTTCACCAGCCTGATAACCAACCCCTTCGATCTTCATTCCTCCCTCTCTGCAACTAAGTTCCAGATTTCAGCTCAGTGTGTATCTGTGGGTGTCTGTCTCTGCTTCCATCAGCCACTGGGTGAGGGCTCTAGAATGGCATAAAGAGAAGTCATCAATCTCATTATAGGGGAAGGGCATTTAGGTTATCCTCTCCACCATTGCCTGGATTGTCAGTTCGTGTCATCCTTGTAGATCTCTGGAAATCTCCCTAGTGCCAGATCTCTCCTCGGACCTATAATGGCTCCCTCTGTTATGGTATCTCTCATCCTGCTCTCCTCTATTCTTTCCCCAACCCAACCCCTCTGCTCTTTTTTAATATAATGGATACCAGAATGTTACAGAAATGTATTGAAAATATTTGCAGTCATTTGTGATAAATCTTTTCTCTTGCAAATGTTTTGCTAAACAGTATTTTATTTTATCAAATTTTTGTTATTTGGCATTTTCTTGATTTCTGTACTAAATTGTAGTCATATTTCTGCCCCACTCTCTTCTCTCCCTCTCCTCCATCTCCCACTGGAGCACTTCTTCGCAACAAGTCTCCCTCCTACCTTTGTGTTGTTTTTTAGTTATTAATAATTATGTCAATAATAAAATAAATAGTTTTATTAAAAATAATGATTTTACCATTTCAGATC